TTCTCATTACACGCCCCTAAAATTTCAACTACCTTTTCCTGATGTTAAGTATAGGTTTCCTTTTTTTCCAGTTTCTCTAAAGCTTCGTCGTTACTCACATTTTTCGCTCATGGTATTCTCAGTTTGAATTGGTCATTTGATTTCTTTTTCTTTCTTTGTCTCTTCCCAGAAGTAACTGCTCCATCTAATTTTCCTTTTGAAATTTTTCATTTCTAAATGATGTTCTCCCTGGTATCATCGCATGGCCAAAAAGTTCTGTGGTCCGCAGATCGACTCTCCAAATAAATTATCTGAATATACATTCTTTGACTTAACTGGTAGTCAAACCCAGGACTGTTTTTTGAAAAGTTCTTTCAGAGTTTAGGTCTCTGCCAGTTTTAATTCTTTGCTGAATTTCTAATGGAGATGTCGACTTTAACTAAGTTAAAACTTAGTAACATTTTTCCTAATAGTAATAGATAGGTTTTCCTATCGCCTGGTCCATAGTCCTCCACCTTTTCTTGAATAGGATTAGAGGCCCTTCCCTTTTTGGGTCTCTGCCAGTTTTGATTCTTTGCTTAAATTCTAATGGACATCTCAATTTTAAATAAATTAAATGTTAATAACATTTTTTAATAGGAATAGATATGCTTTCCTATTATCAGGTACACACTCCCCCCCTTCTCTTGAACAGGAGTAGAGAGTCATTCCTTGTTTCTTGTTTAGGAAGGGGTTCCCGGCTCCTTTCCTTTTCTCAGGCCTTAATAATTGTGATGTCATGATTTTTTGTGATATGTGTAGAAGGTGGCAACATCTCTTCATAATGAGCGTACAGGATCGGTAGTTTTCTGGTTGTTGTTCCAGACGGGTAGTTAGGAGACTGAAATCTTGCATAGCGTCTTGAGAGGCTGCTCTGATCAACAGTCGCATAATATCGGGGTTCTTGCAGTGCCATGTCACGCATAGAAGGGTATCCCGGCAAGTACCTCCGGTGGGCAAGCCGTGATGCCACACTATGTTGCAAACTGCGCCAGTTCTCTTTCCGTATTACATTAAATGACTGACTGCTACTAACCTAACACTTTCCTTATCAAAATAACACACCATGACTATAAGCAACCAAAGATATAAAACTAAACCAGATCAACAAAACCACCTAAACACCACAACCAATCTATCTCCAATATTCGTTGTATTCATTCCAACTTCTGCAGTGTGGAATCATTCCCTTTCAAAAATTTCTGGATATCCTAGCTCTCTTCGGAACTAATCTTACCTCTTCGATCCCCTCCTCTGATTTCTTGATTCCTGGCTATCTTCCTCTTCTTAGAAAAGTCTCTAATGTGGAATCATTTCTCGGTGAAAAGTCTTCAAACGTCCTAGCTCTCTGCGAAACTAATCTTATCTCTTGAATCTCCTCCCCTGATTTTTCGATTTCTTGCTATCTTCTCTTTAGGAAAGAATCTAATGTCCATAGTCACGGCTTGAGTCCACCAACATATCCCACTGGCTAGGAAACTCTCTCTCTTGAATCTCCAGACCATTCGGACATGTGTCTCCGTCTCTCTCTACTTAACTCAATCAGCTATCTCTTCTTTTTCTACCGTTCCTCTTCCTCTCATGACTGTTGCGTGCTCGATAGTATTTCTAATAATATAGACAATAATATATACACCCGTTTGCAAATATATTTGTGTTTGGTGACTTTAACGCCTAACATACCAGGTGGCTAAAACATTCTATCACTGACCTCTCTGGAATCCAAACCCTTAACTTTTCAATGAACCTTTCACGGAAGTGGTTGACTTTACTGCGCGTTTCCCCATTAACCCTGACGGAAACGCTTCTCTTCTCGATCACTTTTTTTACCTCTATCCCAGACTCTTGTCATGCTACGCAGCTCTGCCCTCTTGGTAACTCTTATCATGCATCGATGCTTTCATTCCAGTAAAAGAAGTACAAAGTCAAACCGCGTTCGTCTCCTTGGTTTTCACCTGTTTGCTCAGCGGGAATCGCTTCTTCCGACTCGACCAGAGCGACGTCTGAGTGCAACAGATATCTCTTTGTCTCTGCTCGTAATGCGTGCAAACGTGTCCTCAATGAAGCAATGTTACTGTTTTCTAATAGAATGAAACAACGTATTGCATCTCACAATTTTGGTTCTAGAGATTATGTGCGGTCCTGCAAGAATGTGCCGAATAACAGCAAATCCTCAATCCTTCCTCTATTCGTACCAACTTCTGCAGTTTGGATTCGTTCCTCTTCGAAAAGTCTCCGGACAACCTAGCTCTCTGTGAAACTAACCGTAACTCGTAAATCCCCTCCTCTGATTTCTCGATCCCTGGATACCTTCCTCTATTTAGAAATAACTCTAAAGTTCATATGCATGTCCTGGGTGTTTATGTCCCGCTGGCTAGGAAACTCTCCTTTGAAATCTCAAGACTATTCTTACATGTGTCTCCATCTCTCTCTACTTAACTCAGTCAGCTATCTCTTCTTTCTCTACCATTACCCTTCTTCTCAAGGCTGTTGCGTGCTAGATAGTATTTCTAATAATAATATAGACAAGGCCATCTCCCTACACCCGTTTGCAAACATATTCGTGTTTGGTGATTTTAACGCACACAATACCAGGTGGCTTAAACACACTGTCACTGACCTCGCTGGATCCAAACCCTGAACTTCTAAATTACTCAATCTCTCACGTAAGTGGTGGACTTCCCTTGCCCTTCCCTAGAAACCACGATGAACACGCTACACTTCTAGATCTCTTTTTCCCTATCCCTGTCGTATTATGCAGCTCTGGATTCTTGTCAACTCTGATTAGTGCGGTAATAGGTAATCTGCAGTTGTATCTCTAAATATCTCCCTCCCGCTCTCTTACCAGCCAAGAAGCTCTCACCAATAAATTATCTTTTTTCTTACCAACGAGCAGATTGGGAACCGTTCACAAATTTCTTTTGTGACGTTCCTTGGAATTAAGTTTTTTAATCTTTCTCTTCAAAATGCGCATCTGAGGGTCGCCTCTTAGGCGAAAAGCGGCATCTATGCTTCCATTCTAGCAAGTTCATCTCCTTGGTTCACACTTAAATGCTCGGTTGCTATAGCCAACAAGAATCACTTCTTCCGACTGTACCAGGAAGACCCGCCCTGGGTATGACGATAAACTACATCCGCGTCCTGGGTAAGACGATAAACTGCGTCCAGCAGCAATGCCTCATATCAGGTGGTTTTGAGGGGCGTGGAACCACCTCTTAATTGATGATGTTCCCAGGTCCACTCTGACCCGGGGTGGTAGAACCTGTTAGGGCCCCAGCTATGGGCAAATAGTTAACTCCAAAACTGGGGTAAAAACACTCTAAAAGTGTAAAAAGAGGTTTTAATAACAGAAATACTTTTAAAAAATTATTACCAGCAATAAATTTTGGAAGAAAAAAAACAATTACCAGCAATACATTTTTGAAAAAAAAAAATATTACCAACACTGTTTTTAAAAAATAAATAATACTAGTAATACATTTTTGAAAAAAATGTTACCACCAATACATTTTTGAAGGAAAAATATTACCAGAAATAGATTTTTGACAAAACAAAATATTACCAGCAATAAAAATTTTGTCAGCATTAAATAACCCATTGAGGTGTTGATATGCCGCAAAACAAAACAAAAAAACAAACAAATGTACCAGAAAGACACACCCTATCGCCCTATTTGTCTCCTACTGCTTTTCAGCAAAGTATTCAAGACTTTAATCAATGCTGAAGTCGTTCAGCATCTTATTTCTCACGATTTACTCACTGACAAACAATATGGCTTCCGTTTTTGCCCGGTATGCAGCTGATTTGCTAACAACCATCATTGAATATGTATAGCAAGCTCTTGATAATAACGATCTTTTTTTCCCCTCGTGCCCCGACTACGTAAATTTAAGCGTGTTACTAGATTGACATCTAAACACAACCCTTTTACTGTTGAAATAGTTAATTGGAACCGCAAACTCCTACTCCAACTGCTTCTTTTCATGCTCTTCCCGACATAGGAATTCCCTTCCGTTTACTTTCTTCCATGAAAACTATTTAAATGTAACGTCAATCTTTTATCTTCTTGAATCCCGTTCATCTTTTGCCTAAATCCCCACTATACCCAATCTTTTCTCTCACTTTTAATCACTGCTTCGGTTACAGAGATTGAAAGTACTAGTGGTAATCTCGCCTTGCGTGGGGTGAAATGATTAAAAAAAACATTTCTACTGTTTCAAGTCTCTTATATATCTTTGAGGAGATTGTGCAACATTCACTGCCATATAGGAGTACAGATATCACATAACAGTTTGGTACTTTTTTTCTTTGTTTCTTATGAAGTTTTTCTGTTTCTTAATACTCTGCTTAGCTTTTGGAAGGCATATGTCGCCATCCCAATGCATCTTCGGATGTCAGTGTCACACTTTCCGTCCTCTGTAGAAACACTTACCAGATATCTAAATTTTTGTACTTGTTAGATTTAAATATCCTCGATTTATAATTTGCATTTTGCTGATAATATTGCATTCTGTCTTCTTGTAGCTTAAAGTTAGTCCTTTCTTCTCGCTTTCCTTCGCTACATTTTATCTGAGCTTTTGTAGATTCCTTTTCATCGATATGCATTTGCATCAGCGATGAACAAAAACCTGCATATAGCGCTCGTAAAAAGAGCTTGTTAGCTATATTGCTATTGCCACTTATGACACGTATTACCGAACGAATAGCTGTTTGATTAATTCATTTTTTACAGCTTATCAATCCTTTGCGAGTTATTTAATAACGGACACTAATTTTTGTATTGCAAGAATTTGGGGCGGGGGTGGCAGTGATAATAATGGTTTGTCTTACTAATTAACCCATAGACGGGGAAAAAGAGCCGGGTTCATACATTCCTATTGTGCGTAAGTGGATATAAAGAACCCAACAGGAATTGGAACTCGGCTCTCCAGTTAACAATTCTGGGGCATTATCAATTACACCACACGCACATGCAAGCTTAGAATACCTGGTGTTCCCAAGCGGTCACCCATCTAAGTACTGACCAGACTCGAAGTTACTTAACTTCGGTGATAGTAAGGTGTTTCAACGTGATGTGGTCGTATACCTCACCGATTAGCTGTGCTTACACTGTTTCGTCTCTGTAAACGTTAAACAAACGACCATTTGTTTCGGTACTTAGGAATTCAATGACGCTGCGAAACTTTATACACATTTTTATATCAAGCATGGTTTCGGCCGAAAAAAACCTGTAATTAGATAAAAAAAAAAAAGATAATGTGTGTTAGGGTCGAAAAGATTTGACCCCACCTTCCATGTCCGAAACGTAAAGAAACTCATTTCTAATGAATTAGGAAGCCGTTACATGTTCTTTATTAAATCTTTTCGGTTGCTCAGGTCGGTAGGTGTAATTCCCATATATATATATATATATATATATATATGAAAACACTTTACCCTTTCGCACTACCTAGGTTTCGATCGTGAGATCTAATCAGGTTGTTAGGTAAAAGCTAACGACCTGATGAGACTTGACGGTTGCACCAAACGACCTATGATACCTCACGGTTGAAACCGAGGTAAGGCTGAAGGTTAAAGTAGTTTCATTTTATAATATTAATCTGCTCTGCATGTTCAGTTTTCTGAACTGTGTATTGAGCAATTGTTTTATATATCCTTTTTGGCACGGTCATTTTCCGGCCTATTTTACATATATTTTTTTGTATATATATATATATATATATATATATATATATATATATATATATATAAAACAAATGTTTGGAGGTACAAAATTTATATATAGTTTTAAAAACAAGGAATGCATTGATTTTAATTTTAAAAAGTCTCTAGGGTTTTTCAGCCAACATCTCATCAGGAGACAATCGTTGATTAGCGAAAAGAATATTAACGATAATGAAGAGCAAAAAGAGGGGGGAAACACATTAAAATAACAAACAAGTATATATACTTGTAACGAGGGAAGGGAAATAATCGTGTAAATAAATTAGCGAGGGACAGTTAAAATAAAATTATATATATATATATATATATATATATATATATATAATTATTTATTTAAAAATATGATTCCAAAACGCTACATATGAAGTCTCATGTTTCAAAACAAGAGCCGAAAACTTCAATATAATTATTTAAATTAAATTGAGTTAAAATAAGCTCTGTTCCATCTTCAAGAGAAATTTTTTGGAATAACGTATATCTGAAATTTACGTGTTTTAAAAATTGAAATCAAAATTTCCATGGTAACAGCTAGGGCGAATTGTTTAAATTGGATAGGCGAGTGTTGGGTGTTAATAATAAGTATCAGTATAGAATTACTTTCATAGATGTCAAGTCAGGGAAAGGTAGCGGTGTCTAAATTTTAAACGGATGATGTATTAACCCTCGTCTAGTTTGCATGTCTATGGAGATTTATTTATTTTTTTATTTTATTTTTTTTATGAAATGGATTTGTGCATATAAAAAACTGTCGTAACGTTTGTTTTTTGACGACTTCATAAAGGGTTATCTTTTTTGTAGGGTATTTAAACTATTTATTTGGGCTATGGATTATGAAGGGTGTTATATTGTATGCATGTTTTTAGTTAATTATTCAAACCATGAATCTGATGATTGGGCTATAGATTAAACAAGTTATTATATTTTATGCTTTTTTTTTTTTTAGCTAATAATTCAAACCAAAAATCTGATGATGTCTACAAAAAACTGTTATCTCGTGTTTATTGTTTAATAGATTATTATTATTTAGATGCTTAACACCCTATATATATATATATATATATATATATATATATATATATATATATATATATATATATATAGATAAATTGGTAATCCGTATGTAATTTCCAATAGGATAAAGATGCGAGCAGAGGTCTATGTCAGAGACAGAGAAAATTATTAATTAATGAATGTCAATCACTTAAAATACCATAGGTCATTATCTTTATTTCATGAATGCTATAAAATAGCCTTCAACCTTTCAGGGATTTGCTTTGTAGGTCTGAAAGATTGAGGACTATTTTTATAACTTATATATATATATATATATATATATATATATATATATATATATATATATATATATATATTGCTATCAAATGACAATGGGAAAAAAAAAAATCTTACATTTTGCCGACGCGTTTCGTCTTCCGACTTTTTTCAACGCAAAAATGAAATCGAAATGTTTTTGTCGTTATAGTTACCTTAAAAATCCAAATTTAAAAAGATAGACGCTTCTGTCTAAGCCCTTTTTTCTGGTTAATGTAAATTACCTTTATAGTAAAGGATTATTATTATTATTTACTATAACAACAAAACATTTCGATTTCATTTTTGCCTTGAAAAAGTCGGAAGACAAAACGCGTCGGCAAAATGTAAGATTTTTTTTTTCCAATTGTCATTTGATACCAATCTGTCTTGTCCACCGAATTCATCTAGGAATTTAACTATATATATATATATATATATATATATATATATATATATATATATATATATATATAATAGAAAATTTAATGTTAAAAGTTGAATTAGACGATGAAAACAGTAGTATTAAATAAGTGCCCAATATTCATATAAAAAGATAGAAATGTAACATGTCGAGCTATTAGAAAATTAGAAGATTAGCCGATTCCGCCATCTTGGTTTCAACTTTTCGGGATCTTCAGGTGACTTCGCTCAACTGATTTCCTGACGACTTATTTTTTAAAATAAAAAAATATATGAACTTTATATGAACTATGAACTTTATATTATATATATATATATATATATGTGTGTGTGTGTGTGTCTGCGCTTCTCTCTCTGTGCGTGCGTGCGTGCGTGCGTGCGTGCTTGTGTGTGTGTGTGTGCGCGTGTGCGTGTTCAACCCTACCAGAAAGCCCTGCAGGTTTACTTTTGCGATTTTTGTCACAAGGATTTCTAAGTTCCTAGCGGGACACAAATGTCATATAATTGTACATGGGGACAGGCAATTTCCAACATAGATAACTAAACAAACTTTATGTTTGCCACGTATGCAAGAAAGGTTGTAAAAGATAGACTCACTTTAAGAATTACTTATGTGTCCATACCAGAACGTTAGCTTATGATAGAAATATTATAATTCTGAAAGAAAGAAAGAAAGAAAAAAAAACTGCAATGAAGTGACAATGATCGTGATGTATCTATCCAAGTCTCTGTTCCATTTTGAAAACAGCTTTGGATGTCCTTTTTCGGGATCGACATCATAGAGTTCTCCTTACACTTGTCGACAGTATGAATTCACTTCCATTTAACCAGTGATTTTAGCCTCTAGAAATATTAGAAGGGGGACAAATTTAATGAACAAGCCTGAGAAACGGATGTTTCCTTTTGCCACAAATGCGTTTACAAAACGAGAAGAATGGCAGACAGATTATGATGATGAAGACACCATTCAGCACTTGACCCCCTGTTGTGGCCCTTTTCCTACTGACTGCCTTTCTAAACTTTGATGTGGCTACGACTTTGCCGTGTTTTGCTCTTACTTAGAGACTCGGGCGATTTGTTAAGAGCCGCAGGCCTATGACTCATATTATGAATTTCTTGCTTCATTCGTATCGTTTTGAAAGAAGTCCATTGCAGGTTCAGCACGAAATTCGTTTTTTTTTTTTTCTTAACTTGACTGAAACCATAGAACTTAGTTCACTTCAAGTTTCATGCCAAGACCCTTTGTCGAAATTTCTGAAACAATAAACTTATGGAACACCTAATTCTCCGTGTAATTCTCACTTCGTATTGTTTGTATGCCTTAAAAATCTCATTTAAAAATATTTATCTTTTTATCGTCCTTCTCATCACCTACTCCAAAAATTCATTAATTTAGAAACAAACTCTTCAGGTAGGTTGCTCCCGATTTTCTTCTGTCCCTCTTGCCTCCTATATATCCTGTGAGTGTCAAATTCTCCAAGACTTCCTTCCTCATTCTGATTTGAAATATAAGCCTCCATTTTTCATAAAACGTCTTTCTTGATTATGCGCTCCGTCCATGAAATTCTCATCATCCTTCTGTAGAGCTACAATACTATTTTCTTGTTTTATCTTTATCTGTAAGGAAATTTCAATATTTCCTGCCATATAGGTGGGTCGATATTACATACTTGTTCAGCACAATTTTCTTTGTTTTTAACAAACTTGCCCTGTTTTTTAATACTTTGCTTAGCTTCAGAAAGGCATCTTTCGCTATACACATTCACTTTCAGATTTCGGCGTTACATTTCCGTTCTCTGTTAAAACACTTCCCAGATATTTAGATTAGTGCAGCTCATTATATTGATTGTCCGATGGAACTTGCATTCATTTAGAACTAACTTCTTAGGCAGAACTATACAATGGATCTACTTAGGTCTTCCGGTATTTTGCCACTGTCGTATATTTCATTTATTGTTCCTGTGATACTTTTGTACACTATTTACATTCTCCACTGCCTTAACCAAGTATTGAACTCACACTCTTTGGGTCCTGTCACTGTATCTAACCAACGCCTTTATCCACAGTGTCATGTGTCCACACACATGGCACAGTGGATAAAGGCGTTAGTTAAGCAGTTAAGTTAGTTAGCTAGCTGGTTATGGCAGTGGAGAACTTTCAGAGGGGAATTAACAGGAGATAACTGATATCCATTATACATGACACGTGGAACTAGAACAGTCTAACCCAGTGAGCGAAATAAAGGGTTCAATTCGACATTCCAACCACCTGAAGAAGGCAGGAGCGTACAACGGCCGAAACGTTGTGATAAATATGGCGACAGAGATGAGGGCAATAGTCCGAATAATGTAAATAGTGTACATAATACCTCATCTCAGAAATATAGACAGATACTGAAAGGCCGAAACGTTATAATAAATACGGCAACAAAGATAAGAACAATAGTCCCAATAATGTAAATAATGTACATAATGCCTCCTCTTAGAAATATAGACAGTGATTCTTTTGATGCCGAAATCTTCTTTTTCCAAGAAGATATATCAGAGGAGATTTGTGTCAGCTTCACAGGGGCCATGAAACTTTTAAAACTAAAATTCAGTTAATTAGATTCGACAAAAAGAAAAAAT